CCTCCTTTTTTTTTTTTCCCCCAAAGCCCCAGTAAATAGTTGTATGTCATAGTTGCACATCCTTCTAGTTGCTGTATGTGGGACACGGCCTCAGCATGGCTGGAGAAGCGGTGCGTCGGTGCACGCCCAGGATCCGAACCCGGGCCGCCAGTAGTGGAGTGCGTGCCCTTAACTGCTAAGCCACGGGGCTGGCCTCCCACTTTCTTAAAGACAGTGTGCTGTGGAGATGGCTGCTAGTCAGTCCTCCCCGGGTCACTCCCAGAGCAGGAACGGGACACATAACATGGCCAGGAGGTGGAACACAACTCAGCAATAATGAGGAGTGAACCACTGGTACGGCTACATCCCGGAGGAATGTCCAGGGCAGTTCTTTGGACGATGAAAGCCCATCTCAGGGCCGGCCCTGTGGCTTAGCGGTTAAGTGCGCGCGCTCCGCTGCTGGCGGCCCAGGTTTGGATCCCGGGCGCGCACCGACGCACGGCTTCTCCGGCCATGCTGAGGCTGCGTCCCACATACAGCAACTAGAAGGATGTGCAGCTATGACATACAACAATCTACTGGGGCTTTCGGGGGGAAATAAATAAATAAATAAAATCTTTAAAAAAAAAGAAAGCGCATCTCAGATTACATCCTGAATGATCCCACTGAATGACATTCATGAAATGACAGAATTACGGAAACAGAGAGCAAATTAGTGGTTGCGTGGTCAAGGAGAGGGTGGGGCAGGAGGGAGGGGGGTGTGGCTAAGGAGGGCTACGTGAGGGGTCCTCCCGATGACGAAGAGTCTCGGCTGTCCCTGTCTGTGTCCTGGTTGTGATGCTGCATGACAGTCGTGCAGGATAGTCCCCCAGGACGCTGGGGAGGGGCGCCCGGGATCTCCTCCACATTCTTTCTCACAACTGCCTGTGAATCCACAACTGCCTCAAAATTTAAAGTTTAATTTTCTTGAAAAGAGAAACCAGGAGGCAAATTCATAGCCACACGCTTTAACACAAACGAAGATCCGTCGGGCTTGTCAAAGCTGGTCGTCTCCACGTTGATGTGTCTGTGTGCCAATTGTTTAGGTGAAATGTGTCCAAGATGCGATTCGGGCCAAGAAAAAAACTTTTAATTTCCTGGGAGAGATGATAAGTCTCAATCCCACCGTCGGCCTCTTCATCACCATGAACCCTGGGTATGCCGGGCGCACGGAGTTGCCTGAGAACTTAAAGGCCTTGTTCAGGTGTGTGGGCCCGGGAGGGAGAGGAAGTGCCTGGGGGAGTGGGCAGAGATGGGGGACAGGAGAAGTCATGGAGGCAGGGCTCCCGAGTCAGAGGGGACTACCAGGCCAGGGCCTCCTTAAAAAGCAGACGGCTGGGGGGGCGGCCATGTGGTGTAGTGGTTGAGTTCTTCACGCTCTGCTTCAGCAGCCCGGGTTTGCCGGTTCAGATCCCAGGTGTGGACCTACACCACTCATCAGCCATGCTGTGGAGGCATCCCACTTACAAAATGGAGGAAGAGTGGCACAAATGTTAGCTCAGGGCCAATCTTCCTCAGAAAAAAAAAAAAAAAGCAGACGATGGACTTCCTGCTCTCCGTTTTCCTGGGGGTAGAGGGCCCCATATGAGGCACAACCTGCCCATCAGTACAAGACGATAGGAGCCAGGGTTCAGGATGACTCTCAGAGAAGGGTTGAGTAGAGCAAATGCAGTGCTTGGAGACACCCTGTGTGGAGAGAGTAGGGGAAACCAGTGAGGACGGGAGTGGGGCTGGGAACCCGGTGCCACGCCCCTAGAATCTTGACCAGTGATGCCTCCTGGCAGGGGGGGTTGTGCACCTACCTGAGGAGGGACAGGTGGGACGTGAGTGGCAGAGGGAGAAGCCCAAGGCAGACCCTGCTGTCTCCCCCAGGCCCTGTGCTATGGTGGTCCCCGACTTTGAGCTGATATGCGAGATCATGCTGGTGGCCGAGGGCTTTCTGGAAGCCCGCCTTCTGGCCAGGAAGTTTATCACACTCTACACCTTGTGCAAAGAGCTGCTCTCAAAGCAGGTATGTGTTGACAGTATCCTGAGGCCCACAGAGTGGGGGCGCCGGAGGGCCTTAAAAACTCAGGGGGCCCAGATTGCCTTCCAGACCGGCCTGGTGAAGGTTCCACATGTTCCAGTAGCGACCCCAACTAGCCAGAGTGAGAAGGAGCACTCACATTCGTGCCCCTCTACCCTCTGCCCCCAGGATCATTACGACTGGGGCTTGCGAGCCATCAAGTCTGTGCTGGTGGTGGCTGGCTCCCTGAAGAGGGGCGACCCCAGCCGAGCAGAGGACCAGGTGCTCATGAGGGCGCTGAGGGACTTCAACATCCCCAAGATCGTGACCGATGACCTGCCCGTGTTCATGGGGCTGATCGGGGACCTCTTCCCGGCCCTGGACGTGCCTCGGAAACGGGACCTGAATTTTGAAAAGGTAGGTTGAAAAGGTTCTGAATTTTGAAAGGTTCTGCTGGGCCTCGAATCCAGCCCAGAAGCTCAGCCCCGCCAGGGCCTCCTGCCTGCCGAGGATGCTTCTCTCCGCTGTAGGTCAGATTGGTACCTCAGTGGCAGGTGCAACATTGGGGTAGGTGGCCACGTGTGCCCACCAGCGATGGTCACACATGCATGGCGCCCTCTGCTACGAGAAACACCCTGAGGCCACAGGCTGCCCCTCCAGCCCTGGCCAGCCCCTCTCTCAATGCTGGGGAGTTGAGCAAGGAACTGGAGGGGGCTTTGGGCAAACCCATCCCCTGTACGGAGGTCTCAATAGCATCAGCGGCAGCACCTGTAAATACATCCACGCCGGAGGGCCGCTGTTCCCTTATGACATCTCCTGCTGGGCAGGAAGGTCCCCCCACCCGGAAAGACTGCCTGGTCCTTGCAGCACAGGCCCCGGCCCATGCTGTGTGCGCCCCCCCAGATCATCAAGCAGAGCGTCGTGGAGCTCAAGCTGCAGGCAGAAGACAGCTTCGTGCTGAAGGTCGTGCAGCTGGAGGAGCTGCTGCAAGTCCGGCACTCAGTGTTCGTCATCGGGAACGCGGGCAGCGGCAAGTCTCAGGCACGGCACCGCGTGTTCCCGCCCTGGGTCTCCCCGAGGGCCCCTGCAGGGTTCCAGCACAGTAGGCCCCAGCCCAGGAGCCCCAGCCCAGTGCGTCCTGGGACTGAAAAGTGTCATGGGCCAGGAAGGAAGCTGTGACAGGCAGGGTGGGTAGAGGAGGAGGCGAGGAGCGGCCACAGGACCCTGGTACCACTGAGGAGGCCTTCTTCTGGGTTCTCTGCTCTTCCTGCTCCTCCCCTCTCGATACCAGTCACCCGCCTTCCTGCGGCCAGCCCCCCACCCTCCTGTCCCCACTGCCCGCCACCCTCCTGTCCTCACCTACCTCCCTGCACCAGTCCTCATCCCCCACCCTCCTGTCCCCTGCCGTTGCCTGGGGCGTGGTGAAAAGCAGGGGGTGGTGGCCAATGTGACTAACATCTATAACACCGGAAAATTCTAACCCAGCCAGGTGTTCAGCTAGACGCCCACAGGATAGACTGTTCTGCTATTCTTAAAGATTATTTCCAAAGACTAATAACACGGGCACACTTATAGCAAATTATTTTTGAAAAGGCAAAAACTGTACAAACCGAATTTTCTAAAAATAAATACATATATGTATGTGTATGTATGTCTGTTTACACACTTATACTTATGAAACATCCTCAAATGTCCTTAAAAACGCTTTCCTCTGCATGGAGGAATTATGGGTCATTTTCTTCCCATAATTTGTTTTTCAACGAGTGTGTTTTACTTTTAACATCAGGAAACTCGTGTGAATTTTCCCTGATCTTAGCGTGGTCTCAAGGCAAACGGCCCTCGCTGTCTGCGGATGGGAACAGTTACAGTGCATTTCTGATCACTCAGTTCATTGTTTGAGGGACACAAACTCACCCGCGTGTCACCCAAAGCAAAACAGACCAGAGCAGGGATTCTGCTTGTGCTTCGCACGAGGGGGCCCCACACGCGTGGACAGCGCCCCGGCAGCCCCGCGTGACCGACCCCCCCCTGCTTTGCGCAGGTCCTCAAGTCTCTCAACAAGACCTATCAGAACCTGAAGAGGAAGCCAGTGGCCGTGGACCTGGACCCAAAGGCCGTCACCTGCGACGAGCTCTTCGGCATCATCAACCCGGCGACCAGGGAGTGGAAAGACGGTACCAGGAGCCCTGGCCCCGGGGGGCTGAGCGGGGCGTGGGGTCGCCAGCAGGCGCTCACACCCAGGCCCACTTTATTCCGGCCACTCCACCGTGCTCCGTGCAGTGAACCTGTATTGAGACTTTACCACGTGTCTGGCCAGGCCCCTGAGGAAGACCCTCAGCAGGTCTAGAGGGGTGGGGACCTCACATGCACATGGTGCATAATGATGGTGCTTATGAAGAGCAGTAAGAATGCAGGAAAAGCTGGTTCCTGCCACCGGCGGGAGGAATCGGGCAGCCACAGGAACTCAGGACATCTGAGCGTCAGTAGTCCTGCCCTGAGCAGGCCGAGGGGAGAAGGGGCCCCCACCCCGAGGAGCATGGGAGGCAAGCCTGGAAAGGCAGGTTCAAGCCAGGTTGCGGCGGCCCTGGAGCCGTGGGCACTGGGAAAGGTGTTTCTCTGAGGAAGGGGCTTGATGAGATTCACACTTTATAAGGTATAAAGAACTCAGGGGACATTGGAGAAGGAGCTAGAGAGGCTGGGGTGGGTCTGTGTGTCCGGGCAGGGGTGAGGAAGTGGGGGGGCAAGACGTGGTCCAGGCGGAGAGAGGGGCACTGAAGAGAATGGAAGAGGCGGGTGCATGGCTTGTCAGGGGATGCTGCCCACACCTGCCCCATCAGAGCCTCCCTCCATCCCCCTCCTAGACTGGAGCTGGGAGAGGGCTCTGCGCCTGCGTCCCCCTGCGAGAGGCCTCCCCAGTCCCCACTCCCTCTCTACCTCTCGCCCTGCTTTCTCTTCGGACTTGGTCACCCCTCACGTCATGTGACACGTCTATTTCTATGTGTGTATCTTGCATTTCTCCCCCACTAGAATGCACCTCCGCAGGGGAGGGCAGGGGCTCTGATTGTCCTCAAGACCCCTACTCTGAGCCTGACGTGTGGAGAGTGCTCAGCAAACGTTTGTTGAATGAAGGAATGAAGGAATGAATGGAGGGGTAGAGTGCCGTGTTGGGAGTCGTGATCCACATAGGGTGGTTGAACCTCAATTACTGAACCAGACTGGAGCGGGGGGGGGGGGTCCGGGGAGGGGCAGGGCGCATGGGTAGGGTCCTCTGACCTCCCCAGAGGAGGGCATAGGGCAGGGCCTGGGGGGGACATAAAGGAAGGTCCTCAGGGTCAAGGATAAGGGTGGGAAATGAGCCCAGTCACCTCCTGTGTGATGGCCTCTGCTGTCCCTCTGAAGCAGGGGACAGGCCACCTCCAGGAGAGAGAGGCCAGGGTCAAGCCAGGTGGGGACTGGAAGGGGCAAGGTTGGTCTCAGCCTCTGTGCCCTCAGAGAGTACCTGGTCTGCTGTTGGCCTCTTGCAGAGAGCCGCTTAGACACCAGCCCTGCTCACACCAGCCCTGCTTGCTTACACCAGCCCTGCTCACACCTGCCCTGCTCACACCAGCCCTGCTCACACTAGCCCTGCTCACACCAGCCCTGCTTGCTTATACCAGCCCTGCTCACCCATACCAACCCTGCTCACAACTGCCCTGCTCACACCAGCCCTGCTCACCCATACCAGCCCTGCTCACACCTGCCCTGCTCACACCAGCCCTGCTTGCTTATACCAGCCCTGCTCACCCATACCAACCCTGCTCACAACTGCCCTGCTCACACCAGCCCTGCTCACCCATACCAGCCCTGCTCACACCAGCCTTGCTCTCTTTCAGGCCTTTTCTCCACCATAATGCGGGACCTGGCCAACATCACTCACGACGGCCCCAAGTGGATTGTCCTGGATGGGGACATAGACCCCATGTGGATCGAATCTCTCAACACCGTCATGGATGACAACAAGGTTCAAGGGGCTCCTGGATTCCAGAGCTAACCCCAAAAGCACAGCAATGGGGGGAGCTCATGGGAAACACCACACGTCACCACCCACCACACACAGCAGACAGAACCTGCCATAAACTGGGACTCGGGGAGGGGTCTGTCTGCAGCTCCACACAGAAAGGTATGAACAAGGGAAAGCCCCCATCCCGAGATGTGCCCCTCGTGTGCCTCAGTGCCATGTGCGCTGTCTTAGGTGTTTTGTAGCATCAGCAGCCTGGGTGAAGGGTGCAGACGTGGAACACATTCTTGTCTAATTGACACGTCGCATAATGTGAAGAGGATAGCTAATATCTTGGAAGGCAGAAACAGTATTCAGAATTATCTAGAAGTAGCTTAAGAAAAGAATTCTCAATCCAGTGGAGGAGGGAACTCAAGAATTCCCAGGCGAGGAGAGGGGTCATGGTTTGAAAAAGCAAATGTAACATTACAGTGAAGTCCTACACGGTACACACGTCTGGAAGCCTCTAGTGTTGTCCTGGGGTGGGTGGGGGCCAAGGTGGGACTGGCGTCAAGGACGGCTGAGAAATGCTAGGTTGGGGGAGGCTGGTTGGTGGTGGGACATGGGTATGGGGTCCCCGACTTCCTCCTCCTCGTTCTGAGATGTGTCCATGTGACGCACCGTCAGGATGACAGCACATTTGCTGCTGAAAACCCACAGGCCTGTCTCCCTTCCTAGGTCCTCACCCTGGCCAGCAATGAGCGGATCCCCCTGAACCGCACCATGAGGCTGGTGTTTGAGATCAGCCACCTGAGGACAGCCACCCCGGCCACCGTCTCCAGAGCCGGCATTCTTTACATCAACCCAGCAGATCTGGGATGGAACCCGTGAGTTGGATTTTAGTTCTCCTGCTCCAGACTGTGGCAGAGAAGGACGGGGTTCCGAGGTGCATGGGCACGCGTGCATTCATTCATTCTTTCATTCATGCAACAAATACCATGTGCCGGGCCCTCCCCAGGCACGGGGTCATGGCGATGAAAGGATGACGGACAGACATGTAAATAAGTGATGTAAATGCACGATGACACTACAACACGGCAGCCAATGAAAGGGAAGTTTGCACCATGTGCTGGGAACTCGGAGGGTGAGAGAGGAGGGACTAAGCCTGTCTTGGAGACAGGAAATCTCAGAGGAGCTGAAGTTTGGGCTGACACCTGAGGGGAGAGGGAACTTTCCAGGTGGACAAAAACTGGGGGGAGCATTCCAGGCATGAACTACCTTTACAGGGACATGGGGGGTGAGAGTGTGAGCTTCCCAGGGACGGGTGGCGGTCAGGTGTTCATGGATGGAGCGTGAAGCGTGAGGATGCTCTTGGCAGGAAGTGATAGGACGCTGGACCAGCTGGCGGGGCCAGCACGGGGGTCTTTTCTGCCGTGAAGAGGAGAGCTGCTCATGCCGATGGACAATGGGTGGTCTCTGGGGATGGGGAGGAAGGGATGGATGGATGTTTGCAATGTTTGGAACCTTAGAAATGGAACACTTGGCATTGATTCTGGAGGCACTTGCTCCTGCTTGGACACGTGGCTAGTAATTTGCAGAGCAGTGCCAGGATGACGAGCTTTGTCCTTTAACATCTTGAGTAGAAATCCCAGTGCAACACTCCAGGACCTACGGGCTCAGGAGAAACGTCTTGGCTGGAAGTGGTTCGTTCATTCATTCGTTCATCCAGCCAGTACTTTCTGCGCACCGACTGTGTGTCCGGCCCTAGGATATTCTGTGCTGGGGAACTGGATTCTCCAGGAGAGCTGTGAAAGTGACAAGAGCAGTTGGTAAACAGCACTGTGTTGAGAGGAAGAGGAATGTGTGAGGGATTCGAGAAGGACCAGCCCCGAGGGCAGAAGGGAGATGGCGTTGGCACACACAGGGAGGAAGAGCTTCAGGAGGGAGGTGGGGACGAGAGGGTCACGTCCAGAGGGTCAAGGAGCCAAGGACAGAAAAGCTGCCACTGGACTTGGCAGCTGGGAGCTCATCGTTAACTCAGGAGGAAGAACATCATGGTGTGACGGGGACAGAAGCCAGGTGGCAACTGGGAGGGGACACTAGAAATGCAGCTCTTTCTGGAAATGAGGCTTGTGGCAGCTGGGGCAAGATGAAGGAAAGTTTGTTTTTTCAAGATGAGAGTGATGTTGGAGCATGGGGAGCAGGCCGGGGTGTTTCCAGGGGCAGGCAAGTCTGTGGGCGGGAAGAGAGGAGGAGGCACAGGAGATCATGCTTGATGTGCCTCTTGGCTTCTGCACTGGGGAGTGAGACCAACTGCTGGGAGGTAGGCAACATGGCAAGGTCAGGGTTTGAGGGGGCCACCCAAGCGCAGTGGCCCCTGCAGGGACAGCACCGAGTGCTGGACCTACAGGGGGCCGAAGCTCCCTGGAGACCCAGCACCACTGTGCCGTCTTCTCCAGCAACTTTGTCATCCCACTTATGTTAGTGTCCTGTGGCTACCATGACAAAGGACCACAAACTGGGTGCCTTCCAACAATGGATGTTTATTCTCTCACAGTTCTGGAGGCCAGAAGTCCAAAATCAAGGTGTTGGGAAGGCTGGTTCCTTCTGGAGGCTCTGAGAGAGAATCCGTTCCAGGCCTCTCTCCCAGCTTCTGGTGGCTGCCCGTGGGCCTTGGTGGCCCTTGGCTTGTGGGTGCCCCACTCTAGTCTCATGGCTGTCTTCTCCCTGTGTCTCACTTCATCTTCTCTCTGCGCATGCCTCTGTGTCTCAATGTCCCTCTTCTCCGAAGGATCAGTCATTGGATTAGGGCCCACACTCATCCAGGATGATCTCATCTCAAGATCTTTAACTTGATCACATCCGCAAAGACCCGTTTTCCAAACAAAGTCACATTCACAGGTCCTGGGTGGACATGTCTTTTGAGGGGCTCCCATCCTGCCCACTACATCACGTTTGAGAGTTTTCAGGGTGGGCGGCAGACAAGGCAAGAGAACTGAAACAGTCTGGGTGGGAGCTGCTGAGAGGCAGGGACAGGAAGAAGCCAGGGTCGAGGGGCACTCAGGGGGACACACAGCGGGTGGGAGGAGGGAACCGGAAGATGAGCAGGTGTGGGCAGAGGTGAGACACGCCCTTCAGCCAGGAGCAGTTCTGGGGCCCCCAGAGGGCTGATCAAGAGGATGAGCAGCTCTTGGGGGAGGAGGAGGGAGGCCCGAGTTTTGCTGAAGGAGAGAAGTGAAGTGTCTGAGAGACGGGCCAGGGGCCCCCGGAGAGAGAGCAGTGCTCCTGCAGGTGGCTGCTGGGGCAGCAGTGACTCAAGGCAGGGAGATGGCAGAGTTCATCATTGGGGGGAAGTGAAGCAAGGCTCCCGGGCCTGACGGGCCCCAGCTGCCCCGGGAGCAGGGCAGGAGCCCACCTAAACCTGGCAGGAGAGCCGACTTGTCCTCCCAACACAGCCCCCTCATCAAAGCCAGCAAGAGCATTTGCATGTGCTAAATGACTCCAACCAAGGCGAAATTAAAATTTAACATAACCGCCTTCAAAATAGAAGGGAAATGCAGCAGTCTATGTATAGATTTGCAAGCTGGTCTCTATTCTGAAGACCTGCTGTATTTGGGATTCAGTTCCTAACTGTGCCAGGCATTGGGGCACCGTGTTTTGCTTGCAGACATGGATTGTCTTAAGGTTTTCTTGGTTATCCTGGATAATCCAGGGTGCAGTGGGGCAGAGGTTTTGAGCTCTTGATTCTCTGTTCTGGTGGAGATGCAGGAAGAAGGAGGGGTTCCGGAACACAAGCTCACTCCCAGAAAGGCGTGTCTGTTGGGCTGCGGAGAGCAGGAGAGCTGTGTTTGGTAACATGAGCTTCCTGCTTATGCTCCAGCATCCTGGAAATGACGGCTCACTGAGCTCAGTGACCCACGAGGGAGCCGGATGCTATTCATGCTTTTAGCAGGCACTTATTTAGCACTCATCGTGGACCAGGATCCCTTCTCTAGGCTTGAGGAATATCAGCCCAGGCCATCCTCTGAAATGGGAGTTATTACCATCACTCCCATTTGCAGAGGAGAAATCTGGGACCCAGACATGTTGAGTAACTTGCCTAAGGCCACTGCTAGCCATGGGTAGAGCCGATTTAAGCCCAGGCAGCAGGGGCTCCAGGGTCCACACCCTCACCATTGTGGTGGACTGCCTCTATGCAACCCACTCCAGAGGCAGCTGTGCGCCAGACAACCCAACACAGCTCCTCAGGATTGCTTGCGGTATTGGTTTGGACTCTTCCACTGAATGAGACAAATTCAACTCAAACTAACTGAAGCAAAAAAAAAATCTATTGGCTCAACTCACCAGGGCATTCTTCAGGAATGGTTGGATCCAGGAGTCCAGAAGATGTAATGAGATGTCCTTGCTCCTCTCCTCTTCTCTCCTTTCTCTTCCCTTCCCATCTCTTCTCTCCCCACAACACCCCCCCACCCCAGATAATGTCATGAAACCTTTCTCTCCTCTCTTCTCCTATACTCAGCTCTACTGCCCTCAGTATTAACTCCATTTGAGGTAGCAAAGATGGCTCCCAGTTGTTCTAGGCTTACAGTACCCCCATAGCTAGAATCCCAGAGAAAGAGGACACCCCCACAGTCACAGCATCCTCATCAGACACTCTTAAGGTCTGTGACTGGCCCCATCGCCAGGCAGGAGCACCCGAATCATGTGGAGGCAGCAGGAGTTGTTCACTAAGGGGGGGGACGCCAGACAGACCCAATGCAGTGGCCCCATCGTCTGGCGCCTGCCCGTCTTCCCCAGGGTGGTGAGCAGCTGGATTGAGAGGCGCAAGGTGCAGTCTGAAAAGGCCAACCTGATGATCCTCTTCGACAAGTACTTGCCCACGTGCCTGGACAAGCTGCGCTTCGGATTCAAGAAGATCACGCCGGTGCCTGAGATCACGGTCATCCAAATGATCCTGTACCTGCTCGAGTGCCTCCTCACGGAGAAGAACGCGCCGCCCGACTCCCCCAAGGAGCTCTACGAGCTCTACTTCGTGTTCGCCTGCTTCTGGGCCTTCGGGGGGGCCATGTTCCAGGACCAGGTGAGCGGCCGCAGTGGGGGGACCCAGCCACCTGACGAGGTCTCTCGGCATCCCTCTTAGCTGGGCCCTTGCTTTGCTTTTGTTTTTTAACAGCTCGTAGATTACCGGGTCGAGTTCAGCAAATGGTGGATCAACGAATTTAAAACGGTCAAGTTCCCCTCGCAAGGAACCATCTTTGACTACTACATAGATCCCGACACTAAAAAGTTCCTGCCATGGACGGACAAGGTGCCCTCCTTTGAGCTGGATCCTGATGTCCCACTGCAGGTAACCTCCCCGGAGTGGTGACAATTGACTGACCATTTAGGAGCAGGACTCAGCGTCCCAGCCCACGCTTCTTGATGGAATGTCCAAGTGCAGACGGTTGTCAACAGCAGGACCTTTTAAATAAAACCGGGGACTTAACAAACCCCGAGACCACTGTTGAGGTCTGCAAGTGGTCAGAAGGAAACTGGAGGCTGCTCCCTCCACGGCCGTCCTTCTGCCGCTGCCCGCAGGCCTCTCTGGTGCACACCATCGAGACCATCCGCATCCGCTACTTCATGGACTTGCTCATGGAGAAGTCGTGGCCAGTGATGCTGGTGGGGAACGCGGGGACAGGCAAGTCGGTGCTGATGGGAGACAAGCTGGAGAGCCTGGACAGCGACAGCTACCTGGTGCAGGCTGTGCCCTTCAACTTCTACACCACCTCAGCCATGCTGCAGGGTGAGGCCGGGGCCAGGGCCCAGGAGCAGGGGCGCAGGGTGAGGCTGGGCCGGGAGCAGGGGGCTCTGGGTCCAGTAAGGCTTCCCACCGGTATCTATCTGGCACAGCAGTGGCCAACCTGCTCCCTTCTCCAGGGGTTCTGGAGAAGCCACTGGAGAAGAAATCAGGGAGGAACTACGGGCCACCAGGCACCAAGAAGCTGATCTACTTCATCGACGACATGAACATGCCCGAGGTGGACAAGTACGGGACGGTGGCTCCCCACACACTCATCCGACAGCACATGGACCATGGGCACTGGTAACCAAGAGGAGGCGGGGCCAAGGCGAGGGGTGGGCTTTGGGCGGGGCCAAGGTGAGAGGCGGGGCTTCAGGGGCCTGGTTGGGGCCACAGGGCTGCAGGGGGTGGATCAAGGTCTCCTCCCCTCATCCATTCCACAAACGTGCCCTGGGCATCTGCTGGGCCCCAGGCTAGCGGCTGTGCCTAGAACTCCCACGGAGCAGGGACAGACAGGTCCCTCTCCCATTGAGGGGGTCCATATGGCAGAGGAGACAGCGAGGTGCAGTGACAGAGGGAAGGAGAGCTCTGAGGGAAGACCCCCAGGGTGGTCACGGAGGAGCCCACCACTGGGTCAGAGGCACTCCTGGGGAGGCCGCACCGCAGCGGAAAGCAGGAGGCTGAGATGGGACTGGCCATGGAACCTTGGAGGGAGAGTGTCCTGGGCAGAGCAAATGCCATGTGCACAGGCCCTGGGGCAGGAGGGAGGATGGCATGTGGAGGAACCAAAGGAGGCCAGCATGGCTGGAGTGTGACAGCCAGAGAGAGGGGTGCCCAGGGCAGCTGCAACCAGACCCCAGGACCCATGGGCTGCTGGGCAGAGAAGAGGCTTTCTCCCAAGGGCAATGGAAAGTCCGGGGTGGCAGATTGAAGTTTGCAGTTTGGACAGATCAGAACATTTAGTGCAGTTAAAATAAGCATCTCTTGAAATAAGGGTCCTGTGATGACCTGGCAAGTGGCCCAAGCCAAACCTCGGGGTTCTGAGACCAAAGGAACCTGAGAAATCCCTTCAGAAATCAGTCAGAGAATGCACAGAGTCTGCCCTTTACTGCCAAGAAATAGAGGCACAGAAGGGTCAGGTAGCCTGCTCGAGGCCCCAGCCCTGACGAGTGGCAGGGCTGGATGTCAGGTCCGCGTTTATCCAACTGCATCACTGTCTTTTCCCCGCTACACGACGCTGGCCCACAGAGCTCACCGGCTGTGCGAACCAGCAAGGGCAGCAAGGAAGCGATGGCGTGCTGCAGCCTCTGGAGTGGGGATGGGTGTTAGGCACGGCTTCCCCGGGGAGGTGACAGAGCCAGGCCAAGGGGGCCACTCTAAGCGGGAGCCTGGCGAGAGCTCGACATTTCTGAGGAGCTGGAAGTGGTGTGGGATGGCCAGGGCGGAGAACACCTCCCCTGTGGTGAGGGGAGGAGGCAGGAGAGGAAGACCATGAGGGCCGCCCATGCCCCCTCTCAGAGGATCCACTGTGAGGCCCAGGAGGCCCCTGGTTCCACGCCCTTGAAATGGGTTCACCGGGTCATACATTCCCGCAAAATTTGCGAAACTGAGATTTTTTGTAGTCTTTTCCTTAAAGAGGGGCCTCAAAGTCGGCAAGCTTCAGCCCTGGGTCCACACCTGCTCGAGTTCATCCTGAAGAATCTTTAGGAGGGGGAGGTGGAAGACCCCTCTAGCATGTCAGATAAAGGTCGCCCCACGACCCACAGGGAAGGGTAGGCCGGTTAGTGGCCGTGTCAGCAAGTGTGGAAGACACAGCAACCCAGAACACTGCCTGGTATGTAGACAAGGGTGCGCCCCCTGTGGAGGGCAGACCCCCCCCCCAAACTGGGAAGTTGGCAGAAGAAAACCGGGCAGAATACCTCTGTGACCTGGGGAAGGAAGGACTTCTTTTTTTTTTTTTTAATTTTTTGTTTATTGCAGTAACATTGGTTTATAACATTGTAAAAATTTCAGGTGTACATCATTGTACTTCTATTT